ACCATGTTATGAATACCAAGCACTCTGACCTCTCATCCCTACAGTAATAAAGCCTGATGCAGGAACAGGATATGGGTACTACTGCAACTGCAGAAATACAGAGCTAGAATCGTGCCAGGCAGCTGCTGCAGCAGCTACTTGGGTAGCAAAAAGGATAAGTGACTAAATGGATCACATGCAGACTAATTTCATATATTCAAACCTATTTTATACACATTCCTCTTTCTCTTGGAGTAGACTGTGAATGGAGCTGTACACAAACCAGAGAATTGCTGAAGACGATGCAAAGCATCAAAACAGCATCAGCACTGGAGCAAGCCCTGTCTGCTTATGTGATGGCAGTCTGCTGAGCAAACAGACCGCTGATGAAATGAACTCACTTCTTAACAAGCCTCCAAGCAAGACCTCTACTTGCTTTGGACAAAAGTGCTTGCAATGAGATGACTTTCCTTCAGAGACTGTTCACCAGAGTCTGGCTTTCTCAAGGGAAATGTTGGCTCTGATTTAGGCCAGGCTGGCAGAACAGCATGCATCCCATCCATCCCGTGCTGCATCAGCAATGCCTTCTCTCACAGATCTCTTCTTTCACTCCTCTCTTCTCTTCCTGCAGAATGGGAGCGGAGCACAACCACCTGGTGTGTGTTAGCTTCTCTCATTTCACTCCTGCTCTCTGGCTTTTTACATCTCACAGCCTTCTCCTATGAACAGGACATCTTCCTCTTCTTTTCATAGGTTGCAGCTCCTTCCAATGTCTGCTGATCTCTAAGGATACTAAATAATCAGATGTGCAGGCCTCTTCCTCTGGGAAGTGGAAGATCTCTTCCAGAGAACTCTAGATGCAGCAACGTCCCTTCTCTGCATTTGTCACGTTACTGCTCCTACACACATCTAAATTCAGCTCCATCAGCTCTCAAATTTAACTTCAATGTGAGCAGCTTGATTTGGATTTAGCAATGCAAGAAGAAAATTCCACTTACAGTTCTGCCCAGTGCTATGTATTGCATTGCCAGAGTACCGTCACCCAGCACGCTCTCCCCTTATAGCAGCTGTACTGCATCAATCCACCCAGCAGGAGGGTCCGCGTTGCTCCCAGTAAAGAACAGTTTTAGTGAGCTGAAGCAACCATCCAGCCAACAGCAGAGACGGAGTCAGATTCCTGGGTCCCACAAAGTCATCTGTCAGCATCAGACTTGGAGAGCTGGATAAGCTGTTCAAAGAACCTCACTTTGACCTTGGATGCCCAGGTGGGTTATATATTAATGCAGGTACACCTCAGCCAGCATGGAAATACCGAGATCTCTAGCTGCACACGCTGCAGAACTGTATTCTGGCAGCATGAAGTTGATAACTGTTTTTTAAATTATTCAACAACTAGCTCAGTAAAAAATAGTGCTGGTTCCATGTTAAGGAGAGACCAACAAGCAGGTGGCAATACAGAACAGATCATCTAGAGGCATTTTCCTTCAGATATCTGTAACTATAAACCAACTATTATCAGCTCTGCTCTATTGCCAGTAAATAATTAACTGCAAAAGCATACTCCTCTCAGCCCCATCCTCCTCAATCAATCTGGCTTCAGGACTACATGCTGCCAGGACTGCTCACTATAGCAGTGCACTCAAAGCATTTCACATGACAGAGAAATGGTGTGACTTCATTATTTCAGCGGAGACCTTTCCTTCCCAGTACAAGGGGGTGTCATCATGTAACTCCTGTACTTACAGCAGGAAAGTACAGCATATTTCACTTAGAAGGTGTATCAGTTGCATGAAGATATAAAAACAGGTCTGCCATTTGATCCTGGTCATTCTTTTAGAATATAAAGACAGTAGATAATTCAGTCAAAATCACATTAAAAAGGCACAGGGAGAGCACAAGCAAAAATAAGTGCTGGAAAAACACTCCAGAATTGTGGAAACACCCTTCTCACAACAGCCAGAATGCCAGGGAGAGGCAGAGCCGCTCTGCCACTGAGCAAACGTCTTCACACAGTCACTGGGTTTAGTTCAGCTGGCGACAAAGAGTTCAGTCAAAGTCTCCACCAAGGTGGAGTAAAAGGGGGAAATGGCTACATTAGATTCAAAAAGAGAGGCTTAAAAAATGAGGCAGATGAAAGAATGTAAGAAAAACCATGATATACTGAGAGATAACAGTATGGGAAGGAAAAAAAATAAGTGAAACAGACACCAAGAACAGCTCAGGAAAAGAGAAACCATGAAAAATTAGAATGAAAAGTAGAAAGACAGTGAGAAAAGAGGAATGAGACTGGACAGAGCAGCTGACCAGCACTTAGCAAATGTCATTTGTTTAATCTCATCAATTTGTCAAATAATTTACTTGCTTAATATTTCTTTTTGGCTTCCAATGAGCCATAAAGCTGATGAAATATCATTTTGTACAATTAAAAGCATTGAATACATTCAGCTCTTACTGATATTAGTCTAATAATACATCTATCTGCTGGCTCTAAGTTTACACTTGGAAAAAAAAAAAATGTTAAAAACAAAGCTGGTAATAAATTACAATTAAGTACAAGTGCTTGGGGTGCAACTGGGTTGCCCAAAGCAGAGCAGCACAACACACCTTGAAAGATGGCAAGCAGGGGCTTGGCTAGCATTCCTGCCCATTCCCTTCTTCATCAGGAACTCTATGCAGGGCAGCCTTTGCCTCAGTTTTTACTGTGGTGATTTTTTTTCCCTCGTATTCAACTTCAGAAAGGCTCTTTTCACTCAGAAGCGTGAAGTTTTGGATCCCGATGACAAATGCTGTGGACAGCTAAACCTGGATGAGTGGGAAGGCTAGAGGACATCCATGCTGTTGGGCTGTCATCTTGGGAATTAGATGCTTGGAAGCTACACTTCACCTCCCCAAAAGGTTGGGGAAGTTTGGTGGAAGATAGCAATGTGGCAAACGGTGCTTTAGCATTGCTGCTCTCCCAAGGAATGCTTCCTGAGAGCCAGCAGCCTGCTTTTCACTGCTTCTCAGGAGAGCCGAGAAGAGAAATCAAGCTGCAGTTGTCAGCCTGCTTCTTCCTCTCTGGTCCAACAGAGTTCCCTCGTGATGGTTTGTGCACAGAACCTCCTTCAGAGCTTCGCAGCATCCCCTTTCAAGCGACTCACAGAGCCCACAAAAGAGCCTCCCTTAGGCCTTTGGTCTTGTTTCAACATCATGGCATGAGTGTGACCCCAAATGGAGATCATTATTGCTAATTACTAAATCACTTAGCACAAACACAGAAGGTATGACCACACTGATGTTCACGTGGAGATCCAGAGGCTGTGCTGACAGCACCCACCTGGCACAGCCCAGCAGTGACAGCCGCCAGCCTGCAGGCCCACCAGCAGGCCAAACTGGGAATTCCCTCAGCTCTGTTTCACCCTGCTGCTGAAACAACGCAGTTTGCGTTGTTAATCAGACCGGGACTGCACCGGAGGAGTGGGCTGCAATGCCTGGCTGCATGAAGGGGGGACAGATGACTTCACAGCCGCAGCTCTGTTACAAGTGCCGCGAAAACCAGGCAAGCTTTCATTCTCCAGCTACAAAACCAGAGCACTTTAGGATAAATATACCAGCAATTCTAACCAAAGCAGCACCCATATCCCCTGATGGTCCGGGTAGCAGGAGGAAGAGCAGCCTCAGCACGGCCCCGTGCTGGCACAGTCAGGGTAAGCGCATCCCTCCCTGCTCTCCTGCACAGTGCCAGTGTCCGAGGCGCACAGTTCTGTGCATGCTTGTGTCAGGCTCTGCAGAGGAGCGCAGCCTATGGGAGCTCGTGCCTATCGGGCACTGCCGGGAGTAACTGCACGGAGCGACGGAGACAACTTCAGGTACGGAACCGCACAGCTCTTCCCAACGCTCCAGCCTCCATCCGCCCTTCTCCAGGCACCCCGGAGCTCGCAGCCCCCCTCGATTCCTCACCGGCTCTTTTGTCTACGGCCGACCGAAGCCCATCCCGCGCGGATGCGGGCGGGCCGAGCCTCCCTCCCGTCCCGCAGAGCCTCCTTCCCACCGGGCCGCCCGCGGGCTCCTCCCCGCGCGGGTGCAGCCGCGCCGCAGCGTCCCTCGGAGGAAGGCAAGCGAAGGGAGGCGCCGCCGGCCCCGCAGCCGCACGCCCCGCGCTCCGCCACCTGCGGGCCGCCCCCGGCCCGGGCACCGCCCGCAGCGCGCCGCGAAGGCGGGGACGGCCCCGCGGTGGGGGTGGGGGGGGCAGCGCGGGGCTGAGGGAGGCGGCGGCGGCAGAGCCGCGCAGGTGCCCCCGCTCTCCGCAGCGCTGCCCGGGGCCGGGCCCACCCGCAGAGCGGCGGCGCGGAGGGGCGAGCAGGCGGGGCCGCCCGGTGCCCCGCGAACAGGTGGGCGTGCGGCTGCGGCCGCCGTGTGCCCCCCGCCCCGTCCCGTCCCGTCCCCGGTCACTCACCCGGGCGGGATGCGCGTCCTGCGGAGGGCGGCGGAAGTTTGCGGTGGAATAGCGCTGTTTTGCGTTTGGTTTGGGTTTGGGTTGTTGTTTTTTTCTTTCCCCCTCCTCTCCGGGGGGAAAAAAAACAAACTCGACCACCGAATCGAGAGATTCCCCCCCCCGCCCCTCCACCGCCCGGGGCTTCCCGCCGCGCTCAGCCGTGCGTCGGACCGGCGGCGAGGTGAAGTTTCCACCGCGGTGGCGGAGGCTCCCCCGGCGTGCCGCGCCCGCCCCGCATTGGCACCGGGCGCCGGGGCGCTCCGTGCCGCCGCCGCCGCCCGGACAATGTGCGTGCGGGGGGAGCGCAGCGGAGCGGGAGCGCGCCCCGCCGGCGGCCGCGGCACACGCCCAGGCTGCCGGCCCCGCCCCGCCGCCACTCACGGCCGCCCGCCGGCCCTGATAGGCGGCCCCCGCCGCCGCCGCCCTCCGGGTGGGCTGCGCTGCCCGTCAATCATGCACCGCGGCCCGCCCACCCGCGGCCTGGCTGTGGGGCGGTGGCGCTGCGGCCGGCCGGCCTGTGGCACTTGGGGCCTGTCGCCGACGCGCCGCCTGTGGGGGGCTCTGCGGGCGGCCCCGCGGGTGGGGCGTTCCGACTGCCACGGGGCTCCCCTGAGCCTCCTCTTCTCCTGACTGAACGCTCCCGGTTCCCTCAGCCGCTCCCCGTCAGACTTGTGCTCCTGATCCTTCTCGGTTTCGTTGCCCTACTCTGGACGCGCTCCAGCGCGTCGATGTCTTTCTTGTAGCGAGGGGCCCCAGACTGAACGCGGGGCTCGAGGTGCGGCCCCACCAGTGCTGATCACCACAGTGCTCCTGCTGACTGCACTGTTGCTAATACGTGCCCAAGCTTTGAGGCAGGACTGCAGAATATGGCTCCAAATAAAGTCTGTGCTCCTGGTACTGCAGAAATGCTGTTCGCTCTGATGCAATTCTCAACCACATCACCACTACTGATTGTTTCCATTAGAAAGGTATCTGCTAATCTGAAAATGGATCTAGAAGCCATTGTTCTAGATACTGCCGTTGACACAGTAAAAAGAAAGCTCATGCCCTGCAGAGCTCAGGGCTGGAACAGATGAAGCAAGCTGTGAGGACACCTGCTGAGAAGCCGTACAGGTTTTTTCAGGTCTCACAGACTGTTGCAGCAGCACAAACGAACCTGCCGGAGCACTTTCTATAAGCCGGAACACAAACAGACAGGTCCGAACAAAGAGGACGAAGCTTCAGCTTACCTTGAGAATATTTGCAGGCTTCTAACAAGATCTCCTGCTTCGGAACAACCTCTCTGTTCTCCACAAATCCAAGAAGAGCAGCTTGCAGAAACACGGCATCTCTCCCATGCAAGCCAGCAGCAGCGGCACGCACAAAGGTGATGGGTCTCTTCACAGGCAGGCACACGTACACACGGCGCACCGCCTCTCTGCACTGCCTGTCTCATCTTGTCTTCGCCCTTCTGGTGAGCAGGCAGGTACTGGAGCATACAGGGATCTTGCATTTTGCACCCTGCAAGTAAGTTGTTTCTCAGTACCTAAGTGGCCCAGGACTGATCAGGGAGCAAAAGACCCAAATAGGCAGGATAATAGATGAGTGTAGTAGACAAAGCTCTCAGAGAGCAGCGATGCATTGTCATAGGCTGCCCAGAGCAGCTGTGGATGCCCCGTTCCTGGAGGCATCAAGGGCAGGATGGATGGCACCTGATCTGAGTGACAGCCCTGCCTATAGCACGGGGACTGGAACTGGGTGGGCTGTAAGGTCCTTTACAACCTCATGCATTCTATGACTCTATGAAAGCTATGGGCAAACCTCGTGCTTCTTGGACTTCTCGCTAGCCTACATGTAGCAGGACACATCAGAAGAAGGGACTGAAGCTGCCTCTTGCTCATTCTTCAGTGCTGTGATCACATTAGGACAAAAGATACCTGAGGACTACTTGTTGTTGGCAGGCTGCTGAAAGACAGTAGCAGAATCGTCTATTGGTGACTCATAACCACACATAGGGTTGATGACATAAACTTGTGAGGACACTGAGAGTATATATCTTAAGTATGCCTGACACTACCACCCCCCAATCTCTTTTTTGATGAAAAGACAAAGTGCTGGTATAAGTTGCTGCATCTTATGCATCTTTGCACCTCAGCAAAGTTGCTGCAGACAGCATAGCTCCATTGCTTTTGGCAGAGCTAGGCGGATTTACACTTGCTGAGGATATAGCTCATTCTGTGCATAACGAATAATTCTTCCTGGTTACATTCTGGTTTTTTTCTTTTTTTTTTTTTTTTTTCCTTTTTTTTTTTCTACAGGGGAATGCTTCTAGAAGAGAGAATCCTCTTATTTAAGCACAGGAGCAATGCTGCAGCAAGAGCAGTGCAAATTGTACCACAAATAAGCTGGCAAGGTTGTTAATTCTGCTAACTAAACTCCCCCAGTTTGATATCTCCAGCAAACTCCTCTGCCCACCCACAGCTGCCCAGTGCAGCTCCTGTGCTCTATGGCAAACCTCTAGGGAGGTGCAGAGAAATATGTACCTCTCTAGAAATGCTGCAGTGGTACTGACTATTGCAAGCCTTTCTTGTCAGGAAAGGAAGACTAGTCTAACTTTGAGCGCACTGACACACAGTGCAATAAAAAGGAAATGGGAAGAGCATCACAAGATCCTTACTGCCACACTAGTGTTGTCAAAACCAAACCTGCAGTGGGGTTGAAGAGCTGCTCTGTCATTCCAGTGCCTCAGTTTTAACTCATCATCTTCACCAAACTGTAGCATGCATGTAGGAGGCCATAACTCACGGACTGCCTTCTCCCATCAATAGTCATGTGACTTTTAAAACAGCAGTCTAAATTCAGCCCTGGAAAGATATGTTACTGATTTCTGTCAGTGCTGTGAGCCCCCCAAAAAATAATTCCTTGATGTTGTCACTTCCTCTTCAGTCTCTGCAAGAAGGAGGCTAATGTGACATGAAAACATACAAACACAAGTTTGTAAAATTGAAACTTATGCCACAAACTTAAACAACTGAACTCGCTCATCAGATCAAGGCTATCCCCAAGAGTTTTGAGATGTTAATCTTTTTTAGAGGTTTCTCTAGTAAGACCACCCAGGTTATTGCCAGCTTGAACTCAACTCTCTTCTGCCCTTTAAAAAAAAAAAATAATAATAATTTAAAAAAAAAAAAAAAACCAACATGAAAACTTCTTGTGATCATCAATATCACCAGCAAAGCAAACAACTGCACTTTCGCAGCTTCACAGGGATATCTGAATACATCCAAATTTTGTTCTCAGCAAAAATATCTACACGAAGGCCAACTGAAGGGTATAAGTTCTCAGTAGGCAGAGGGCAGATGAGTGGTGTCAGGTTCCTTTGGTTGTTTTCCTGCATCTTTTGTTCCTTTGCCATATCCACAATCTCACCTAGCTTTGCCCTAATTACGTAGAGTACTTCCTGGTTCCTTCTGTGCCTTTTGTGTTGTCTCTACGTTCACATAGTCTGTTGGTCTGTTTTTCTGGATGCATTTTCTTTCTCTCTGTAATTGAAACTTTCTTGAAGTGTTCAGAAGGAAGATTGTATCAGTGTGCTCTCCATATCATTATCTCTGAGAGCATGCTGAGAAAAGCAGAGATTCTGACGTGCTTTCCCACAGCACCATATTCTTCATGATTATTTAATTTATTCCTTCTGCAGACACACCAGGCTCAATAAGCCTTCAGGTACTTCTGTGCTGGGATGTAGATCTTGCTCATCTCTTCCGGAGCTTCAGGGATAAGTAGTGTCAAGGCAGAAAGAAAACTGATACATGACAGAATTTGAAAATTTTGAGTTTTCTAGAGGGTGCAAATTTCCTTTGTTTCCTTTTAGAGCCGGATAGTGCAACACAAGTAACTTGCCATGGCAGCCTGCTTACGAGACAGAAAAAGGTGAGAACCACCAGGTGCTTTGTTACTGTAGCAAGGGAAGAGGCAGAGACCTTATCGTTTTTGGTCACTAATGAGCAGCACACCATCTAGTAAGTTGTCAGCAGAAGTTCATGTTGTATTTGATGCAAGCTAGCTGATGTGTGAGCCTCTTTGATACTTGGATCAAAACTGAAGTGCAGTCAGAAAGAAAGAAGGAAGTGCTCAGAAGAATTGAAACAAAGCTGGATTCTCAGAAGCACAAGGCCTAATCCATATCCGCAACAAACTGACTCAACTCTGCAGATGCCAGTAAGTGACAAACCTTTTTCTACAGAAATTAATTTGGCTTCCACTCTCTGGCAGTCTCAGTTCTTTTCCCAATTTCTTTCAAGAAAACTCAGCTCTGCAGATCTGGAAGTATTCTGAAGTTATTTGGGACAGAAGATGGCATAGGCTAGTGGAGTCTGTGTTCACATCCGTTCTCTTTACAGAGATGCTTCTGGGAAGGGCAGACTTCCTGGCAGCTTACTTGTATTAGTGAGAGAACTGAGAAAAGGCAAAGTGAAGTGGTTAAGGACAGTGAGGGGAAACCCTCCTTGGTGTCACTGTGCAAGGAGAACAAAACTCATCTCTGTTAGCTCAGAAGAGGATGACTGTGAAAGCTGCTATATGTGCAAGAGTTCCTAGAAGCCAATGTGCTTAAGGTAGGCTCATTTGTTAAAAATTAACAGGCTTAGGATAAATAGAAAATGTTAGCTTTACACCCAAACTGGAAAGGATACCTTTTGGAGGAGAGTCTTCAAAAGTGAAAGAAAAACAGAAAGTTTCTCAATCCCTAGGCTACTGATGTGAGCTATAAGTAACATTGCTCCCATTGTGCAATGGCATAAATAGGTGCTTTCCCTTTTTGCTTTAAAAAAATCTATCCCAGTTAATGTTTAGCTTGTTGATATAATATATCAATAATATAAATATATAAAGTATTTTGGAATAGCATAGTTGATATAATGGTTAAAAAGTGGTGAACAGTGAGGAATGGCAACCTTCTGGGCTGAATTTACAGATAAGACTGCTGTGGCTCCTGGACCATCTTTGTCTAACTTCTCAGTGAGCTGTAGAGAAAATACTGCTAGTTCACAAGCCCCAGCAATATTATGGCTTGGAAAGCAGCCCCTGAGAGAAGCTCTTCATGTATTAGATAAATCTATACAGGCATGCAAGGCTATAGCTTACTCCTGACAATGAATTGTTACACTGTGAGTGACTGTCTAGAGAAACACGATGGGGGAAATCAGAGTCTACTCTTCACTATAATTTACTATAATTTGTAATTTCTACACTGTCTTTTAGAGAATGGGAAAGGTATGCCAGTTTATCCTTACTACATGTTGCACTGAAGGAGGCACAGGCAAAACAGATGTCATTAATGCGTACCATCATCCCAAGGGTGTGGGGCTCACAGAAATACCTAAAACTTGGAACAGAAGTGCAACTGAGAGATGACACAGAGGAAAAAGACCAGTGAGTCCTGGTATTGTTATTTTTTTAAAGACAGATGCCGAGCAGAACTGATTTCCTGTAGTAATCAATTAACCAAACCCTGAATTAATTCATTAACCATCAATCAACTGACAAAACCTTCCACTCATATTATCTCCAAAAATGTGACATTGCTTCAGATGACCCAACCGGTGAGTGTGCCCACTTTGTTTTTAAACCTAAAAATTACAGCATTTTGGATGGATTAAATTCTACTAAGTAAAGCACTCGAGTTTCTTATAACTGAATCATTTGAAAACATTGCAGAAAATTCTGGTTAGCTATAGCAAAATCATCAATCTTGGAGAGTACTGTAGTCCATGATAGGATCTTTCTCATGGATTTCTTGTTTGCAATAAGCACAAAAATTCACCCAGCACCTTGCCAGGTGCCTGACCCAAGCCCCGCAGAGCTAGAGAAAGATTCCTATTGACTGAATTGATTTTGCTGCCAGTTGGATTTGATCGATTACAAACTGAATATAGAAACTCACAGATATGAGATGTTCTGCTATCATAGAAGGTAAAGGCTTTGTAATCACTGCTTGTCTTCTGCTGTCTAAAAACACAAACAACTGCAGATTCTTGTTTCATATTTAGAAAACAACAGCAATTCCCATACAGAAGTGGACATAATTAAAAGTCTGGTCAGTTCTAATGGGCCAGTCTCCTCGTAGGAGTAAGAATCATATCTCCCTTATACATGATATGCAGTATTTGATAATGTGAGACCCTCATCTGTGAGGGCAGTGGGGTATCTGGACTTCACATTCTGCTGGTGGGGAGGGGGATGGGATATAAATCTGACGTGTAAGTTTGACACTAATGAGAAGTAATGTTGCTCTCTACAGTTGTGGCCCAGTCTGAAGCACACTGCCTTCTACAGAAAGTGTCCCCTTTGCTCCAGCAGGTGTTTGCTCAAGTTTCTAGCAAATCTTTTTGAGTTTTGTGTTATTTCACAAGTACTGCAGCTGATCACACAATGAGTTTGGAGCCTGAGATACTTAGAAATGATACAGATTCCTTCATGAAATGCTCTCCCCAGGTGAGGGTGACTAGAATTAATAAGTATCCCGTGTCCACTTCCACTTAATCCCAGGCCTCCCCAGGACCAGCAAGGGTCAGATAGGGCAGGAGGTCTGGTAAGGTAGGAATCCACAAGTTAAGGGCCATGCTGACTTTCCTGGCAGTGGTTTGCTGGCATGAGCACAAGAGCTTTTGCTTGCTCTCTGCTTCAGTCAAATGTCAATCATTCTCTTGGAGCCTGATTGTCAGATCACTGTATAGAAAGGGAGGCTCTTGCCCTCACCTTCATACAACAACAGCTCAGGTCTCTGAGAGTAGAAAGCTGTATTTTTTAACAAGCCCTCACAATACTTAGTCCCCTCGTGATTTTCCTTTTCAAACTCTTCAGAGAAGTTTGAACACTCACACACCAACAGTTTCTTTTTGGGACAGCTCAGATCACTTACCATGCTCTGGGTCATCTATGTCACTTGTGCTGACAGGAGCCAGTCCTCCAGGCATGGAAAGCAGTTGGGTTGCTAAGGGATGTCTTGCTTTCTCTGTCATTTCTGCATTCACTGATGTGTGACAGATTTATCTTTGTGGAGTTCAAGGCTTCCCTATAGCAGATGAGTTTGTACTTGAATCTGAAACCATCCTCTGTTCTCCTGGAGGACACGCTAAAACTATTCTCACTTCTTTAAAAATAATCTTCTTACTCCTTTGTCAATTAGTACAGAATTTCTTCCTCTCTACACTGCGGAACAGTTGTTAACTACATCTGTTTCTCAGAGATTTCAAAGCAGTGTTGCACAGCATGCAGCCACAGTAAAACTAAGTAGAATTAAAGACATTGGTGTTTGTTCAGTTAAACTACTTGTTTCTTTTCCTCTGATTGCTTTTTAATGTGCCAGCTGCCCTTTGTCTCTAGCCCTGCCATGCTTCCCTCCCTCTCATAATCAGACTCAAGCTGCTTATCCTTTTCTTTTCTGCCATGTCCTTCATTGATTTCTGTTTTTCTATTTTCCACAAGGAAGAAGGAATGGGCTGCCCAAGGAGGTGGTGAGGTAACAGTCTCTGGAGGTTTCAAGAAAAGGATGGCTGTTGTATTGCATGACAAGGCTCAGTGGGCATGGTGAGGATGAGCTGCAGGTTGAACAAGATGATCTTAGTGGTCTTTCCAATCCTAATTATTCCATGATTGTATGTTTAGGAGCCCCAGACCTCGGTTCCCAGACCTACTGTAAGGTTTCTCTATTATGATGTCCTAAGCAACTTGCTGCTAATTTCTTCTTTGGCCTCCAGCTCTTGACTTTGCCTTTTCCACTCCCAGTGTACTTCTGCTGGGGAAATACTGAGACTGATGTACCATAACACCAATTAGAAGTGTGACGCAAATCCAAGTGATTGACTGAATTTTAGCCATTGACTGTGAAAGCAGAGTAAGCTAATGTTAATCTACAGATGTTGTATTAACACTGAGAGTTTTCCCAGTCCTCATTAGCAATACACTTTGATAAGGGTAGAAAGTGTTAGCTATGGTTTCCCTTCAGTAAGCTATTTAATCACCAGAGCTTACTGGCAGTGGGATTTGGGAGACTTAGGCGATCACAAAGTGTATTAAGAGTAATACAATACTCTCTAGCTTTCCTGTGATATCGCATGGAGGAAAGAATGGACTCAGGGCTGCTCTGTTCCCTAATTTAAGAGGCTCTAGTGTGTTTCAGGCACTGTGTGGGGGGTGAGGACTGGGCCAGAAGCTTCTGCCTCCTTAGCCAAGATCTTCCTCATTTTTAGGGGCGTACTTCTATCAGCTCTCCTGCAGCTATCAGCACATGCCGGTGGACTTGTTATAGCACGTTGAACAGCACATTCTTGCTGGCTCACTGGGGTCTGATCCAAAGCTTACTGCAGGCAATGAGGAAGGTTCATAGACTTCTTCAGTGGCCTTTGGACTGCCCTGCGGACACAGAAGCACGATGGCTGGTAAGCACATGCATGAGAGAACTCTGTTTCACTCCAAAGAGATGGCAAAAGAGATTCTGCATTCCAAACCTGTACGTCCTGGAACAGTAAAGCCAATATGAATCCTACTTAATAAGTGACTCAAAATCACTTTCTCCCTCAGTTTCTGAATCATCTGCATCTCAGCCTTTTTGAGGTTCTTAGGTAATGGGATGAGAAGAGTGCTGCATCTGAGGTCATTCCCACATGCACTGATTTCCAGTCACTTTTAAAATGCTTTCTATCACCGAGCAGCTCTCGTGTAAAGATCTCAGACATGAAGTAATCCTTCCAGCACTTCTAGAGAAAAGCTAGCAGCCATTAAACCTGTTTTACAGGTGGGTGGGCTGAGCTGCAGTCTGACAGAGATCACAAAGCGCGTTTAAGGCCAAACTGCCTGAGCTGCCACGTTCCCACAGCAGCGATGACCGCTCAGGGGGAATATTAACCTCCTTTGGTAGAGTGCCCAGGCAGAGGGGAGGGCCACGCAGTCTGCTGCAACTCCACTTGTGTACATGCACACATGACTACAAAGTAAATAAAACTAGCTGGCCTCGTGCCTTGAAACCGGGAGTCCCCAGAATGAAGGCTTAGTGTATGGTAAACCAACATGCTGTGCTCAGCCCTTCGTGCTGAGCCATCAGGCAGGAGGGAAGGTAAAGCTCAGGCCGGGTGCTCATTCCTGAGTCACCTTCTTCAGCATTTGTTATTGCCTAGCGTGTTAGCTTGCTGGATAATAAATGACTTCATTCACTGCAGCAGTGAGGACACCATTAAAAATTAACTCTGGCAAATGGCCTCGCGTATTTTTCAGACAGAGGCAGACAAGGGAGAAGAGGAAAAGAGTGTTGTTGAAATCTGGTTTGCAGAAAGGGCAAGTGTTGAGTTTTATTAATGTAGTTAGTTCAGGCTTCAGTTTAGTAAGTGCTGTTGCTGGCAGTTGATGATCAAAATTCCAGTAGCTTAAGGAGCTTTGTAAGCTTAAAAATAATCTGAATAGAGAAGATGCAATAGCCATATTGTAAGGCAGGTCAAAGAGTAAGATAAATGTGGATTACTTATTTGAAGCATAATGTTTTACTTGTTTGCAAAAATAAATGATTTTCTTACTTGGATGTTACTACCATACATGTGTAATGTGATGTGTAATGAAAAACAAACTTTTGCTTCAGGTATTGCACCGTTTTCTCACGGTACCACACTTATAACCATATACTATCCATGATAGCATGCAGAGTATATTTACCAAAATGGAAAGCTTGCATTAAAAATTGGAGGAACTAAGCCAGCTTGCATATAGATCCCTCATTTTCCTGGCTTCTCTTGCCTCCAGCACCCACACAATATCCATCAAATTGTCTCAAGACAATCCCAGGCTGCATTCTAAGCAAACGTAGGGCTTGGGCAAGATGCCAACCTGCTAGGCTCAGAGCAGGGAGTTCTGCCTGTGTGCACCCTCCCACTCCCACCGCCTGCATGCTGCAATTCAGTGCAGAGGAGCTCAGCTTTCAGCTCAGCAAAAAATCTCTCAGTGCTCCTTGCTCCCTTTGTGTCACTCAGAGAAAGGGATGTGATCTGAGGCTTGCTGGCGCTGTTATTAATGAACCCACTGATGACAGAACGTCCCTCTTGTTCTGAGAGCAGAAAAATAAACTTCAAGTCCACCACTAAACCTTATTCAGATGGCTTTGATATAGCAGCAAGCAGCGTGCCCCGTTCTGAGCCCAGGGTTCCCAGAACATCTAACAGCTCAGTCCGTAGATGGCTTGATATCCATGGGGAGGCTGGAGTGTAACATAAGCTGCGCTGCCAGGTGCAGTGACTGTGCAGGCAGATCTGCCTGCTGGCTGCCATGCTTCTCCCAGAAGCATACCACAGTTGTTGATATCATATTCTGTGCTGCAATATGATGGCACCTATCGAAGGGCCAAGGGGTGCTCTGCATGTACCACATCACCTGGCTGTGTCTATGTGCCACAGGTATTTGTAACCTTTAGGGTTCATTGTGCAGGCAAGATGCTATAAAGTTCCTGCATAAGAAGAGTTAAGAATTTCCTAGCTGAAGGCACTCAGTTATTGCTGTGACCAAGTTGGAGACTTTTCCTACTCTAATCTCTTTCCTTACCTGCTGCATTCCAGTGGCTTGTGCACCTTCAGCATCTGCCTTCCACGGAGCTAGCTGGTAAACAGTGAGCACAGCTGAATGCTGCACACCTGTGTTTCCACTGACACTTAAGGAAATGTGCTCTTTGTACTAGTTTAACCCTGTTAGCTAACCCTGACCTGCTCCTGCAGAGAATAATCAATTGATTACTTAGAAATTAGCCAGCTGCCACTGTTAGGTGTGCAAGATGGCTGTGAATGGTTAATGAATGTCCCTGTGATAGCCCAGCTACTGCATGGCATCAGGAGTGACTGCTGTGGGTCCTCGGAGAAATTGTGAAATGTTACTGCAACACATGAACTTCTGCTCATCTCAGTGCATGGCATGAGTCAGGTCTCAGCATCCCATTGTACCAGAAACAGTCACATATAAATCCAGCACAGGTTTGCCCCCTTTATATTTTCCAAATGTTCAGATCCAAATTGGAAAGGAAATGGTCAAAAGCCCCTCTCTGTTGCTACGGGGGGTGGGCAGGTCTGGAAGTGCAAGGTCTTTGCTTGGGCTGTAGGAAGTGAGTGGAGATGAGTCACAATATTGCAAGACAGTCCTACAGACAACAGTAGTTTGTAGTCATGAGATGCTTCCATTCTTATTTCTGTTTTCTGCTGCAGGGATGTGCAGGGGTGGAAAATTCAGCTCAGGAATTAGGAGTTTCTGATAAACCACTGCAGGGATTTACCCCAGGGTTTCTTTTACAGCGTTTCAAGTAAAGAGGATGCTGGGATGGAGCGTTCAGCTAGCAGTGTAATCATGCAGTGATGAACTGCAGAGTTCACAGCCAAAGAACTGATCTGCAAGCAATGCTGGAGGCCCCACAGCAGACAGCATGTCATGTCCACTACCACGTGCTGTATCCTTGAAAGCAGACTGTCAGGTGGGGAGCTGGAGGTAGGTGTGAGATTTGCATGAACTGTGATGTTTTCTATGGTTCAATACTCTGAAATACCACATGAGCAATTGTCTTTGTTTCACGTGGTATGCTGAGATATGTAACAGAGTTAACTTGTACTGACAGCGTATAAAAAGTACAGGAGCATACCAATAATCCATCTTCTGTCAGCACTAATCTAACTTAGCTGCTGGAATAACAAAGTACACAGTCCTTTTTCTAAGCACACATTATGCAAAGTCAGAGCCAGGGCTGTAAGGAGGATATTTGGAATTCAAGCCTCTCCTGTCATTTTTACAACATGGAAACATCCTTCCCTCTTTATAAGCATAGGCTTCCTTCTGCTAGCTAGCACTGATGGGGAAGTTATGCAATTCAGTGACCCAAATACAGAAGAATCCCTAGGCTTTCCAAAAAGACTTCCAATGGGAAAGGGAACATGAGATCCTTAAATTTTAGGGAAAATCCCAACATGGGATGGTGGTGGATTGCCTTATTTTTCATTCCTGTGAAGCTTTCGCTGGACTCAGATTCAGGCTGTGCACTACAGAATGGAAAGCAGAAGCAGATGTATAGAGTCAAGGGTTTCTTTGACAGAGCAAATCGGAAGCCCGAGCCCAACCATTTTTGTCTTTGCTCAATTCATTCATCACAGCCAAGCCAAAAGCAAGCACAAATTGCTGAGTAGACTGTGGAGCTGAAATGCCCCAGGGACCATTCTGAATGGCATTTGAGGCAAAAGAGGCAATTTGGCTCCTTTGTATGTGAGAATAGAGAGTCACATCCCCTCAGATACAGACATTAGGATGACACAGGTGTGCATGGAAATATTCAGGAAGGGTACGCAGGGTTTTTTCCAGCCCAAACGTAGCCTGCAGAACTGCCTGACAGCAAATCTACATGCTGATTTCCTCCCTGTGCTGCTGGACACTATGTCCTGAGACTTGTGAAGTACTTTTGTCAAAGCTGTTGTTTGTAGTGTGGCTTCTAGCAGTGCTTTTGGGAGTGATGGCTGAAAGCCTGGGTGTACATGAGTTGCATGCAGAGTAAGCTTAGAACTTTACAAAACAGTGCAAACAAGCAGTGAAATTGCCTGCAGACTGGTGCTTTGAACTGATTAATTTTTTTAAAATGTCCAGTTTCTCCACTGCTTCACACTGTGTATTGTCACACTGATGGCAAGTGAATATAAACCTTTCTGATTTGGTGGCATTTTGTGGTGGCTTTGCACTAGCACAAAAAGCAAGAAAATGCTGCAAAGCTGCTGCTTCACTGCTTGAAGACAGCCCGACAAATTTCACAGCTAATGCCTGCCTGGCAAAACAGAACTATTAACACAGTGAGTTCACAAGTTTTCCTCACACTGCAGAGAACAAGTGCTGCTCCTGAAAAACTATGGCAAAACAGACCTTGACCTTAACTTCTTTCCAACACCAGTTCATTTTTCTCTTAGTATAATGTTGGAAACAAAGTTGTAACTCGGTCATTGACCGTGAAATTCATCCCAGAAGAAATGCAAAGACCACCAACAATGTGGACCAGGTGTGAATTATAAATAGCATCAACAAGAGGCTTTTGGTGTCCCAAGTGCATTAACTCCACAGCCAGCAGTATTCCTTTTATATTTTTATTGTAAGCCAACCATTTTTAAGCCATCTCAGTAAGACTACATCTTGCTTGGGATTTGTGAACAGTGAAGACTGTAATTTAAATGAAACCCCTCTAGTAGTACTAAGTTTTAACAAGTTTTGTATCTACCAATTATTTAGCTAAAATGATTGTCTGTATGCTGTAGGATGGCTCTATTTACATCCCGTGCAGTGGGACATAGCCTGGAAAAGCAGATGTGTGCAGATAACAACCCTAGGCTCCTCAACGCTGGAAATGATTTGTCAAAAAAGAAGAGGAGAAAGGTAGATGTCCTTCAAGAGAAACACGAAACAATGATCTTTATTTTATACACAGACATTTCAAGTTAACCTTGGTTCATCTTGAGTCATGAATGATATAAGCAAGGGAATTCAAGCATGCTTTCCAGGCTCTCAATATATACTTTTTTCATATTTAGAAAAATTTTGTTTCCCTCTTCCTAAAATGGGTCAGGAGAGAAATCCTCTCCTTATGTATGTATTGATTGATTTATTTACAAATCCCAGTTACAACTAAGACAGAATTAGGAGATAAGCCCTGCTGGAATTGGGATGTTATGACTTGTCATTTTAGGTGTTAATACAGTGCCCCATTTCACTTTTGTTACTTCATGTCTTTCACTCTGATCAGTTGCCTCAATCACACATGAACGCAGCCATTTCTGGGTAGAGTCATTTTGTCACAAGCCAAATTCTATCTTTCAAAACAATAATGCAAAGAGGGAAAAAAACCCCACTAATCTGGCATTGGCACTGGGGATTGCTTGAGTGTAAGTGGAATTCCATTGGAGTTTCTTCCTTGCAGCAGAGCTGAACCTGCTCAATGCTTAGGTTAAAGAGACATCCCCACAGTACAAACCAGCAGCATCACATTTAAAGCTTGCTGTAAGCTTCCCTTTTCTCTAAGAAACCATCCTCTGTTGGAAGGTGCAGCTTGTTGCCTTTTATTACTTTCCAGTCAATAGTAGGGACAAAGAAAAATCATGACTGCCAACGTTTCACTGTGAGTTAAAATGCTCAAAAAATTACTTTTTTTTTATTGTTTTTTTTTTAGGTCTAGTTCAGCTTGAAAAGATACAACTTTGTGTGAAATGCCATATATTGCCTGATGAAGCTTTCCTGTAAGGTTGTACTTCATGAATTTGCGTAAGCCTGTGAAAAGGAGCAAAAACAAATGCTTGGATCTGGTGAGTCAGAGAAAATGTTTTTTAACTGGATCATCTCACTGCCCTTTCTTTTCATGCCAGATGCAGCTGCAGCAGAATAAATTCAATTCACAGATTTCTGTCTTCCTCTGGATCTTTGGATCAGTTCTAACTCCCACCCAGTCTCATTCATTGCTTCTGATGATGGTATCCTGAGCACCTGCTGTGAGCAAAATTTTTCTTACATCATCTTACGAACACAGTGACTTTAAACATGTGAAATCATGAGGTTAATACCACACCCAAGGCTTCAAACAAGGCCCTTTCCAGGTGTCTTGGCTGAATTTTTGAAAATGCTGTGGTAATTTCTAGTTCTTGATCAACACAAGAATTACCAAAGGTAGAAAGTGTTGTGCCGTACAAGAACATGAAAGAATGAGAGAATGCAGAGCAGCAGTCTGAATGGGGGAAGTCAGAACCACAGTGTAAATTACTCTCACCTTAGATTTGATTTTTGCCTTGTACAAAATGGTAGTGAATATATTTGTTCTGCATTAGCTACTTGCAACAATAAACTTTTGGAGGCACAGTTTTTACCATATCTGATGTATTTTAGCTGGTAGTGTTAGCTGCATTGACACCTTTTTTTTGATAAAAAGTATGAAAATTTGAAAATCAAATCAGAATGGGGCAAGCTTGAAGATATCCCAAATATGGAATGACAACAAAATTCCCGTTCCTCTGCTTTCAATCTACATCATAGAATCATAGAATTGCTCAAGTTGGAAAAGATCTTAAAGATCATTGAGTCCAACCACAACCTTAACATACTACCTAACTAACTAACAACCCTCTGCTAAATCATGTCCCTGAGCAAATGTATAACACTGTGGCAGTGGTAATGAAAACTGGATACTCAGAAAATGGAGTTATCCAGGGATAAAGCAAAATTTCAGGAGTTTAATACACTAATTTGGCACTGAGTAATTTCTGCCTTGCTGAATAAGAAGAGGAAGAATATCTTAAAATCATCACATTTGGGATGATATAAGAATAGGGATTACACACACCCATCAGTCTGAACCTCAACAGCACGTAATGTTTTAAAAGAAAATTTAACTGAAAGCATAATTAAAGACAATGGAAAACATGGCAGGAGTTTCCCAAGGGTGGATTACAGCCACCCCTTGTAATGGGGCTGGTGGGAAGGAAAGGTTGTGCTGAAATGGAGAACGTCTGAAAGTCTGCAGTGAGAGTTCTTCTGGGCAATAGTCATCTCCTCTTCTGTTAGTGCCCTTTGAAAAAAGCACAGAAGCATGCTAATGATGTTTGATAATGATTAAGCTGCATCATCAGAGGAAGGCTGGAAAAAAGGGACAGAGCAATAAGAATAGAATAAAACGTAGAGATAAAAAGTGCAAGGTCACACACTTACTTACATGAAGTTGGGACTCCCACTCCCCCAGAGAGGACACAAACCGAGAGGAGCCTCACCTCAATAGCTTATGATTACAGGTGACCAATTTGGTGTGACCTTGATAACGCCATCTCAGGATATACCAGACATGGCATTTCCAGCAAGATAGGATAGTATATATTCCACCATATAAGACACGTGGAGTAAAGGCTGCTATTCTGGTCACCCACCTTCAAGGAAAAAAAAGCTAGAAAAGAAAAACCAGGGTGATAATAAAAATTGTGAACTTGCCTCTAATGATGGAAGATTTTGAGTTTGGCTTGTATGACTTAGCAATATAAATGTCAAGACGAGATGAGAGCAGGCCCTATAAATATATCAGGAAAACAAATATCAGAGAGGAGTTATTTTTAGCTGGAAAATATTTTGGCAAAAGAACAGATAGGTATAAACTAGCAATAAATAATTGTAGTCTGTAATTTAGGACGCCTGTAACAATCAGAGAGAGGCTACTAAGAGGAGGAAGAAGAGACTGGCAGGTATCTAAGTGACTTTGATGTGGTTACCTGCAGTAGAATTGGATCCCCTAATGAGAAAGCCCCTTTTTATCCTGTATTTCCAAGGTGTAGTGCAGAGGAATTCCTAAATGTCAATTATGCAAGTATCAACAGCAGTGGGTGTAATCAACAATATTTATTAGTAGGTGGAATGACTGGTTGCTTTTTGGGTACGCTCTGACTGGATAGAGCCACAAGGACAGTTGCATCTCTTCTTCAGAAGACTCCAAAGGAATAGCATGTCTGACCAGGCTTGGTTTTCAGAGAAAGTTTTGCCTGATCCCTGTTCATTTGCATTGCATCAATATAATTAATCCAGTCTAACCTGTTCTAGTTCGTGGCACTCCTGCTATGGTGAGATCAAAATCAGGTCCAACATCTCTGACCGGGTACGCCATTTGTTAATACTGCAATTTAAAGGTTTTAAACATCTTGTGGCAAAACTGCAGCATAACTGCTATAAAGCTTCATGTATGTACAACGTGATTCCTGGATAGAGATCACTTCAGCTCCATAGTTATTAATTCACAGGTTTCTCGCTGACCTTAGCTCAGCTCTGGGAGCCATGCCAGAACAATTACAGTAACTCTGAGCAGCGCAGGCATAAAGCTCCTGTATTTACTCTGAAATTGTGCCAGGTTTTCTCTGGCTCAGTGATGGAAAGATGCATTTCTTCTTTGATTAGTTTCAAATAGTTCAGCCTGGGTTGCCTATAACAAGGTTACTTCATTAAAAAAAAAAAAAAAAAAAAAAAAAAAGGAGGAGAAATAAGGTATTATGAAGAGGTGTGCATACACTATATACTTGCTGCATAGATAACATTGAGGAAATGCAAGCTAAAAAGGGGGGAAAGCGAGTCAAGGTGACTTGTTATCCAGAAAGTGGCAGAGTTGGGAATGAAATTCAAGGGGAATATACTTCACTTGGTGTGGTTTTCACTGAATCGTGCTATCTTTGTGGAGCACGCTGAGGCCCACCTCCTTCCTTCCTGCAAAGGTAGGGCAGCTGGAAGGCAGTGACACCAGGTGAAGCTGAGCATGCTCACCACTTGGGAGACCCAGGCCCCTGGTGATCTTCTCTGACGTTAATTGACTGTCAGACCTTGCAAAAGGGGAGGGAACACATTTCCTGATCTGTGGTTTAAGGTAGTATTTTCCAGACTCTGGAGTGAATTTCATGTTGCAAAGGAAATGATGATGCAATCTTCCAGCAGCTGCTGTGCTCCAGCATCCTTGCAAAGGTACAGTACATATTTTGTGGCTGTATGTGTATATGCAAGCTGCATATTCAAAAACCCCGTTTTTCTTAACAGCAGGCAGGCCTCCAGGTCTCCAAACCCATCTTCCTATCCCCAAAAGAAACACTGCTAAAGGTTGCTCCCAGCAAAACTGTAGCGGTCATCCTGAAAGCGAGCTCCTGAAAAATCAAGTTTTTATGTAAGACTGCCATGGGTGTGATCTCATCTTCCTACGTGCCAGGTCTATGAGTCCTGTACCTAAAGCATAGAAAGGTTCCTCATAACTGCAAGTGAAATGGCAAGAGCAACGTTCTGAATGAATATATTGTGATGAGTCTGAAAGATCAGAGAACGCGTGTCTTTGAATAGATAAATCTAATTGATGAACGTGTGAGTCTGATGATGGAATTAACCTGATTTAATTAATTACTCCCTCTTGGTGGAACTGCGAAAACTGACTGTAGTGTGCTTTAGTCTTTTAGTTTTTAAAATCAATCACATTAAGGGAAAGTAAACAAGTTTGGTTCAGAGATGGAAGGGCTGTTACGTGCTTAGTTTATATGGCTCTGCAGATGCCCAGTGAGCTGCTGAGCTCCAGAAACTGAATCCTGCATGCTGGCCTGTCTGTGCTGGGGGTGTATGTAGCAGCGATGGCTCCCTGCCTTCATGCCCAAGCTTTTAGTTGAGCAAAAACAGACCATCTTGCCTAACATAGATGGGATGAAGATTTGCTTCAGGAAGTGTATGGGAACTGTTGGGTCACAGCCTGAATCACTGATTGAGCACCTGAGGAAGACCTGGTCAGCTGTGGGAGCACAGGTGAAGGCAATTCATCTCGTGACCCCTCTTAGACCTCATTTACAGGCTGACCAGTACTGGGGAAGCATCTCTGGTTGGGGATCTCTCCCTTGTGGAGTCTTTTCTGTAAGCCTAGCTCTTAGGACACTGGTGAGTGCCTTTATTTTCCCTTTAAATACCTGCTCATCTATGCTAGTTCTTTTGATGTTACTCTCCTGTATGGCCCTTCCACCAAGTTAATGTTTCCAATTGTAACAGGAGATCAGTGGAACATCCAGATGGCCTGCTTGGGAACATCCCAGAAGCTCCCAACCTCCTGAAATAACTAAGTGTTCTTGATTCACACCAGGGGTTGAACAGTGAAGAAGAACTGGAATGATGCCATAGTGCTCCCCAATAGGAGGTGATGAATGGGACAAGCATGCTGCTGCTCGTGCAGCCAAGTGATGAGCCAACAGTGCAAGTTCTGCTCTTGCTGCTAACAAAGCTGTACCGCCTCTGCCTCAAGCTGTTTCCTGCACAGCTCTCCTTGCCCTGCAACCATCCCTAGGGCTCCGTTCAGCCAGGATCCCTCGCTTCAGGGAACACGCGGAGCTCGCCTCCCCTCAGTGCCCATCATGCCGCAGCCGGTTGCCAGCCGGCGGGCACGGCGCGTCGCGTCGGGGCGGGGCGGCGGAGGGAGGCCGGGGCTGCCCCGTGGTGGCGGCCGTTGCCGGGTAACTGGGGCCTCCTCGGCCGCAGGTGGGAGCCGTTCGGGCCCTGTGGCGGCCGGTTTCTGTTGCTGGGAGCCTTTTTTCGTGCCCCGGTCCCTCGCAGGGAGCAGTTGGTGGCAGCCCCGAGGCGCCAGAGTGTTTGTGGGAGCCGCGGGCGCCGCGTTAGCGGGCGGTTGCCTGTCCTGAGCAATCCCACCAGCTTGCCCGTGGTCATGCACCTGGCCTGCATTGTTCTCGTGGAAAACTCCATTATTTCACCATGTGAACGCTCCTGTTCATCTCAGAGTTTTCCATCCCGTTCAAAATTTTCTGGTGAGTACGAAAATGTATTAATCAAATGTACTTTTAACCTTTTACTGTTGTAATGTAGCCTCAGCTAATTCTTAAAGCCCATGAAGTGATTACCGAGTAAATAATTGTTCAGCAAATACCTTATTTTTGCATATATGTAGATTCTTCTATATCAGTCTTTCACACACTCGCGTTTCCCTCTGGAAACTGTTCAGCTCTGCTAGGCTGTACTGCCACTCTACAACTGCTTGAAAGGACAGGTTGTGGCCAGATGGGGGGCTCTTCTCCCAGGTAACAGCGGTAGGGTGAGAGGGAATGGCCTCAAGCTGTGCCAGAGGAGGTTCAGGTTGGGTATTAGGGAACGTTTCTTCTCCAAAAGAGTGGTGATGCAGCAGCACAGGCTGCCCAGGGAGATGGTGCAGTCACCATCCCTGGAGGTGTACAAGGAAAGGGCAGATGTGGCACTGAGGGTTACAGTGGAGTCGGACTGGGGGTTGGACTTGGCAAGCGTAGAATCTTTTCCAACAGTAACAGTTCTGTGATTCTATGTGTACTGTTACATCTTCAAGACCTGCTGATCATGAATGTGTGTTGTTACAGCTGATAAAGTAGTATGAAGTAGTACTTTCTTATTGTGGAATGCTCAGAGCCTGTGGAGGTTTCATTTGAAGGCTTTGTTCTTACCGTGGTTTTGTTTTGTTTTGTTTTGTTTTAAAGCAGGTTATGGAGGAATCACACAAGAAATTGCACTGTGGGCAAATGCATCACTGAAGATAAATGGAGATGAATGATTAATAAATGAAAATCTCTATAGCAGAAGGATGGAAAGAAGAAGGGGCAGAACAGCAGCACCGCTGGAAGAAAAGGTGAATTAATTGAAAAGGCACAAGTGACTAAAATGTCTCAGATTTCTATTTGATGTGGTTTGGTCCAATTTAAAGAATTTGCGTATAGAACTTGAGTTAAAAAAAAATGCAGCATTCAGACATGTCAGAGCTTGGAGTTGCTATCATTAATTGGTTTCTTACTATGCTTTTTCTGGCCTATATGTTCTCTCTCTTGGCTTTAATACTGAGAATGTGGGCAGGGAGACGGAACTTTGGGCAATGTATGCCATTACTTGTGCAAAGTGGTGAAAGAGCCATGGGTGCCCCAGGCTTCTCAGCTGGCTACATAGTGAAAAGTGGGAACTTGGGTCTGTTCTGTCCTACTGTGTTCTTGGAGCTCTTATCTCAGGAGATTTGATAAATGGATACCTCCATCTGTGGCAGTTTCTTAGTTCAGTCGTATACTACTGTCAGTGGGAGAGAGAACATCGGGCTTTGTCTGTGGCCTGTGATGTCAGCAGCTTGCTTTACCTCAGCTCTAGGGACCTGTTTCTATGTGAGAACAGGATTCAGATGTGATATGAGACTAAATGTGAGTTAGCATCAAACTAGATTGATTTCATCTTATTATTAGTGTCTGTGCATGCTTATTTAACTGAAGATCCTCAGGGTCATGGTAATGTACTTATTTTCCAAGTTTGAAGTAGTACAGAATTTAATTCTGCTAAATGCTACCATTGTTTAATGCATCACGCATTTGGAATTGCTAGGTTTGTTACCAATGTGAATAGTGTAACATTTGCTTGGGATGAACTATGAATAAGTTATTTTTAAGTTGGAAAACCCATGAGCTTCTCACAGAAATGAATGTGTAACTTTAATTTGCCACTGAAATGGTGTTTGTATCCCTTCTGTAGATTCCTAAGCTGTCAGCACAACCTACTTTATATCAGTTGGGCCACAAGTACTTGCTGTAGTACAAACCAGAATGTCAAATTTGCCATGATGGATGTAATGAAGGCTAATTTATCTGTATTTGAAGTAAAAGATGGCTGATGCTGGCCATTCAAAGCAGCATTATCTGATTTAAACAACAGAAATAAATTCCAAGAGCCTTCTTGTTTCATTGCAGTACCTCACATAGTGAAGTATTTGAAATGTAACGCTGTTTATCCTACAGTTTTTGCATTGTGAGTTTTCATTTAATTTTCTTAGCGTTGAGTTCTAACATGACTTTGATTTCTCTTTTTTTATGTGACTAGCATAAGTAATGTTTGGGTGTGGTTTTGTTTTGTTTTAGTAGAGAATCCATCCAAATTCAAAGCAATGAATATGGAGGGGAAGGGGAGAGTATATAGAATGAAAGGCTTTAAATAAATTATTTCTTCCTGAGAAAGACAAGCTGCTGTGGCAGTTCTCTGAAAATATCATCTCATAGCTGGTCAGAAAATGTTAAAACTCTTAAAAAAATAAATAAATAAAAATTGAAAACAGTATAAATTCATTTACTTTCTCTGTGCCCGTATCTTGAATCTTATGTGCAGTTCTGACCGTCCTGGAAAAGTAAATGTCAGAACTGAAATTGTTTCCATTTCTCATCTTTGTTCCATTTCATGGGAAAGAGACAAAATCAAATGAGATTCTTTTAGCTAGAAAAAGAGATGGAAAGGAGATGATGCAAAAAAAAAAAAAAAAAAAAAAAAGTTTAAATTAATGAATGCTGTGGATGGATGGATCATCCATAATTGTGTCTAACCATTTTCACCTCATTTATAATTTTAGCCTTCACAGCAACCTATGGCAGTGCATTCTACAATTTAACCCAATACCTTGCAAAAGTACATCTCCTTTTTAAAAACTGCTTCCTGATAATCCTTTTCTGTTGGGTAATATCACTGCTTGTCTTAAGATGTGACAAATAATTGATTCCTTATTTATCAACCATGGCTGTCAAATACAACACACCTTTTTCTCAGGATATAACTAAGTAGCAGATGTCCAGAAATGAGGACAGCATGTCAGAGGAAGGATTGCTTTGAACTATTCTGTGTCTGATCCTGTTTTTTTTAAGCATCTGTTTTTGTCTGCAGTAGCGAGCTGGCCCTCTGCCTTGACCCAGCATGACAGTTATTACACTAACAAACAGGTTGTGTTAAGTGATTTCATAAAGTTCTTTTCACTGTAAGTTGTCAGACCTTGCTGAAATCTTGGGGGTGTCTGTTACTAAATAAGCTCCTGTGCACTGTTTGGTATTTTCCTATGAGTTAAACCAGAACTAGTCTACTTTTATTTATATATCCCATATGAGCACCAGTCTGGAAGTCAGGAACATCCCAGCACTGAAAATGACTTTTCAAATGGCTTTGCGGGTCACGAAATCTCTTGGTTTAAATGGCTTAATTATCTAATAGAATGGACTGAAAATTGTTTGGGGACAACAGAGCACTTTGAAATGCAGAAATGCTTTATGTGATGCATTTTCATTCTGCGTAGAAGTTTGGATTTCAAAAGGCTCATAAATGTAGTGCAGCAGTAGTCCATTTCTTGGATGCAATTTAGGCATGCTTCTGAATGGTGGATGCTAAAAATGTGCTTAAATAAAAAACGCCAAGCATTTCTTTTCTGCAGCTTTAGGCTGTCACACAGTTCTGAGTCTGTGAGTTACAACAGTCTGAGAATGAGCAGCAATGTTGTAAGCTTGGTCCTTGGTACTGCATTAATCTGTGCAGGCAGACACTAGTGGATGCATCTCTGAGACCTCTGCCACAGAAAACAGCAGCACTGTGGTGTTTTTATTCTAACAAATGGAGAAAGCCTGCAAGGCCTTTGGATATACAGGGGAAAATGGAGAATGTGTTAGAGAAAAAACAGTGGGAGAGGATCGACTGGTGTGAATGTCTCTTGCTTTAAGGCCCAGACAAAGGCAGCAAGGCTAGTTTAAGAGCTGTATTTATGTAAGGTGAGAAGGTTGGTTGTTGTTTTTTGTTTCTTTGTTTTTGTTGCATGCGTGTAACAGGAAAGGATAATTAGGGCAACTCCTATAGCAAAAACTAAGCAATGATGGGGTACTTCTATTTAATAGCGTCCCCTGTCTCTGCAGCAACTGACACCACCTTCGATATGATTTTTTTTAATTCAGTGAAATTTTTTTGTCTATACAGGGCATAAAAATTGATGCTTTAATCTTTTGCAGCTGCTGAGAGCTGATTTCAGACTTTTTGTGCAACATGACTTCCAGCAGAATATGGCAGGATTGAGACAAATCATTTGAGAAATGTTCATTCAATCGCTGACAAAAACTTTATTTTTACTAAGAAGGTAAAACTTTACAGTAGTAAAAGAATATGTCCGAAGACCTCACCCACTGGCACTGACCCAGTGAGATTGTTCCTTGGGTGATGAATTTTTTTTATGAGACACTCAGATTTTGTTTATTCTTTTTTATTCCTTCCCTGAAAGTAGGTTTTCATCCTGCTTCTGACTTTCTGAATATATGGTGCAGGCTACACAGAGTCAGTGTTGGCCTCAGGTAAATAAACATCTTAAGAGGAGTGCTTCCTGAAGGTCATCTTTGTTCCAATGTACTCAGACTTGAATACAGACTGGCTGAAGGATGTGCAGTGCTGCTGTAAGGCTCTGAGAATTGGCTGGCTGCCTTTCTTCAGCCCAGCTCAGACAGAGTATGCTGGGATTTGTATTTTTAAGTCATCTCTGTCAAATCAGGAACTAAAGAAGAAACAACTTGGACAACCGATACTTTGATATGAGCCCTTACCTACGGGCCTTGGTGTTAACTAAACACTTATTAAATGAGATGTGGCTGATGAAGAGCAGAAAGCTTTAGCACCGTTGTAGACCATATCTTGTAGAGATGTCATGAAGAGGAAATACTTGTTTTGGGGTCCTCTTCAAAATGCTTTTAAATGATGTCAGTAGATGCTTCTACTGTTTGAGGAAAGCTGTTCAAGAAAAAGGCAGATATGCCCCTCAGAGCCACGCTTAGCAAGCATGGTAGGATGGGTTGATGGTTGGACTAGAGGATCTTGGTGTTTTCTAACCTTAGTGATTCTTTGATTCTATCTTGGATTAGCCAAGTGATGAACTTTGTACTTGTGTAATCATCCTGTTCACTATATGGAAAGTTATTTATGTGAATAAGTCTTTTCAGGATTAGAGCCTTAAAACTATGGTGCTGAGTTAGATTTTCCTTTCTGAGCTTGCAGAGCATGTAAGCACATGAATGGGTGCCTGTGACATGAAGAGAGTTTATCTTGTTAGGATTCTCAACTGCATGCACTGATCTTAAAATACTACTGTCTTTACAAAACCTTGCTGGTTTTATGTCCTCAGAGCATCATAGCTATATAACATGTCTACTATCTGCATTTTAAACAACCGTTGAATACTTACTTGTAATGAGAATACTGGTCCTTTTATGTGCTAGAAAGGTAAATGACCTGGCTGGCATTTTAGAAAAAATAATTGCTTGGGTTCTTTAAATTGTCCTTTAAAGATTATAGGATATGCAGTAGATATTAGGACAACCAATGGGGTATTAAACATGAGATCAAATCTTAATTCATCCAGTGAGGATGTACTTACCTGCGTATTTTGTCTTCTGAAATAAAGAGAATATTGGAAGTAAGATCCGAAGAGAAGAATATTGTTTTCTTACAGAAGACTTCATTAAGCTGGTGCTATAGTTCAAATTAATATCTACGCCTTGGGAATAGTCGGAAAGAATAATGTTACAGTTGAATACTTTTTATTTTAACAAAGCTGAGACTATAACGGTGAGGACAGCGTAGAAATATATTTTCCCCTATCTTTGGCTCCAGAGATATGTTACATTTAAGGTAGTATCATAGGAGACTGTTGGGCAGCAAAGTCACAGGCACCCTGGAGCTGTGTTTTCCTATAACTTCCATTGCTCATATAGTACTGTTACATCCTACTGCCTGTTTTTCTTGTCTTATGCTCATGCTGGTGAAGGGTGAGGGCAGAAATCAGAAAGAAGCCTCCTGAGACATCTTCTTGCA